AAGTCATTCTCCTTGACACTCACAAACTTACAGTGGCATGACATGGAATGACAGCTCTCCCTTGCTGTCAAATTTGACCACGGCATCAAATGTTTTTTTATTAATTTTTTTTTATAGATCTGCAACTCTCCTCTCTCTCACCCAAACCTAAGAAGTGCCTGGACATATCAGCTCCCAGAGCCGCTCATACTCCGCCATCTTGTGCCACTGCTTGCTCACACACGATGCCATCCCCAACGTCCGCGTGTCCACGTGCTTGAACACCTCGAAGATCAGATTGTCGTCCAGATTCGAAAACCCTGCCCTTTTCAGCTTATCCTGGTCAACGCAGTCAATCACCATCTTCTCCTCCTCTTCCTCCACCTTAATCCTCTTCATCTTCACATCCGTTGAACTCGCCGCCGCCATCGAATCGTCCCCCAATGATGCTCTCTTCATCGAACGATTACAACCCACCAGTCCGAATCTTCCTATCGATCGCTTACAATCGGAGATTTTAAAGTAATTTTGGGAAGATTTGGTGGGTAATTGGAAAACCCATAGCCCAAATTGTATGACCTGTGGGGGTGTGTGGAAAGAAGGGGGTGGGAAATGCCAGTCCGAATCTCCCAATTCTTTGTACTCTGCTTTTTCTTATCTTTTACCTGCCTAATCTCTTTTTAATAAAATAAAAAGAAAAGAAAATAGTGTAATAAAATAATATTTAATTTGACATATCGATTAGAAAATAAAATTTGGAAAGATGTCAAAATACCATATAGGCTGTCAAATTTAAATTTTATGTTTAAAATTTGACATTGACATCTTCTTTGGAGATGCTCTGAAAGCAAAATGTGCTTCTTTCGTTCGATGAAACTCTTTGCAAACTTCAATACAGTCAATAAATATAGTGTTGAAATATAAAAGGGACCATGCAAGGCCTTATAACTAGTTTACGATGAGACCTCAACTTTTTTATAGTAGTGATATTATGCTACCAATATATCAAAATACAAAGTACAAATTGTATTTAGGAACCTTTGAAACTGCAGCCAAAAAGAGGTCTATTTCACAGCAAAACATGGTAACTGAGCTCTGCGTCCCTCTTTAAATGACAGTACACACTTTGAGTAATCAACTTCTGAAAATATGAACTTTCAGCACAATGTCATTTATCTCGACCAGCTCAAATGTGCATACATCTCCTTCTCTCAAACGATTTTCCTCTGCAAATACACGCCACCCACCAGAAATGTGCGAATGTCTGCTTCCCTCGTTGTTGTAACCAATTATATTAACAGGCCACAATTGCTCTCCGACCCGAAGAGCTGCAATTTGCTTCTTTTGTAATTTTAATCTCTTGGCAAACTCGGCTGGTACATGCTGCATACGATGAATGATATATACCTAATTTAGAGCAACTACATATACATAATATATGCACAACTAATAAGGTTCATGGAGTATTTGTGTTTGAAGGCTTGAAACAAAGTTGTATAAATATGTGGTCAATGACTCTACCATTAGCTTGGATGGTGGCCGCACAGTGGCTCTAAAGAAAGGATTTTTTGTGATGAACTTGTTAGCAGCTTCAAGAACCCTTGAAGCCTTCAAACATGAAGGCCTTTGGGTAACCTGATTAGAAATCTTTGACATGTTGGCAACTTCAGAAGCACTCAAAGATGAAGTGCAAGGCCTCTGACTAACATGCCGGCCATTAATCTTCCCCATTTTGCACTTGCCTACAGTAAAATCAACAAAGTATATAATCATTTCCAGAGCGACCTAGTTAAAGCATTAACTTATACAACATAAAATTCTCCATGCAGATCAATAATAAAACTAATATTGGGAAAAATGCATCAGTAACATGTGAAGTTCTCTTAGTGAAAAGGATGTCACGTTGTTGATGACATATCAACGGTCCGTACTGATGTCAGTTGATCAATAGGTCCTAAAATGGAACAAAACATTTATGTGGAAGCTATGCATTTGTAACGCGGCACAAATTCGAATATTAACAACTGATTCATTGTAAACTTGGAGAAAAAGAGAAATTTGTTGCTTCTGTACCACGGTAAAAGACAACTTCAAACGAGAGCGGAATGTCCTTAATCAAGATAAAGACACACACATCACCGACTCTCAAATCATTATCTCCTACAAACGCCAGCCAACCACACAAGAACCGAGATATTTGGTTTGCATATGTGAATTTAACACGCCAAGTTCCTCCATCCGGAACACAAAGGATGGCACTACCAGTTGGCTGCTGCATAAGATGCCTCTTGGCAAACTCCGAAGGCAAAATCTTCAAAAAGAAAAACAAAGAAGGCAAAAATTTGTTTTACTTTTTCATATATATTTTACATCGTATTGAACACTGCATGGCAACAAGTAAAGATAATAAATAAATAAATATTTGAACAGAGAATGTTTGATTGTCTATAGAAAGCTTACCAAATTATGGAATATGTAGGAGGGCTGCATCACAACCTTGAAGTGAGGCTTTTCAGATTTGAAATCAATGCATCTCTGAAGAGCTATAGATTTTTCATTTTTGGTCAATGGATGCCTCCTTGAAGAGCTTTTGTTTCCGAATTTTTTACTTGAAGAAGTGCTTATTCTCTTTTTCATGCGAGGCAGAGGACATGGCAACGGAGATTTCTGTCTTGTTCTTGGGCAGGGTGGAAAATCCTCCAAAACCTTGAAGGATTCATCATCATCTTCATCACTTTCTTCCACCTCCGGAAATGGTAACGGATACTCAATCTCCGTGGCACTTCTATCAAATATGCAAACATGAAATTTGGAATTCCCTTCGTAGCGGAAAACTAGAGAGTCTCCATAATCAAGAGAGTAAAACTCAGAGAATTCCGGCCAACCCTTGTCAAACCAAATGTCACCATTACAAGTTCTTACTTGGATTTCCCATTCTACACCACTTGGAAGCTTAAGAAGTATTGGATTTGATATATTTTCTCCATATTTATTCACAAATTTCTCCGGAATCCTCTGTACAACAGTAAAATAATTACTCAATTAAGTAGCTGTCTAGCTCAAAGAAGTAAAGAGAAAAAGTTGAACTTACAAGTTTTGTGTATCTAGAAGCTTCATTCGGAATGATCTTGAAAAAATGTGGAGTGGTAGCCGAAAATGTTGGCCGTGCACGATCAGTTTCCGGAAGAAGAGAAGCCATTGCAGGTAGTTCTACTTAAAAATTAGGGGAGCTTTTCAGATGTATTTCATAGCTTGTTGCAATGCTGCATTGTTATATAATTGTGTTTTGTTTTTGGAAAACAGCAAATGCCTTGGTCAAGAAGGCTCTGCCAACCAGAAGGCAGAAGCTAAAGAACCTCTCTTTCTCACACGCCAAAGCTTCTTCAACTTCCCAAACCAAAACTAGATATCATCATTAATGTTTTTTTTATTATAGAAAATTTTGACGATACAAGGGGAATTTTATTAATGTATTTTTCTAATTAAAGCATTTGTAGATTTTTGGTTCACATGTCCAAATCACCTTAATCAATTTTCTCTCATTTTATCTTCAATTATGATCACTCATTCTTTCTATAAAGAAATTCAAACAAGATGTTGACATGGCTTAAACGTGATCGTTCAAATGAGAGGGGACTAGAGGGAGGGGAATTTGAAAGGGGAAGAATCCTATTCCGTAAACGAAAGGGGAGTGCTACCAACTTTTGCACTTGTATTTGAAATCTTTTACTTATTCAAATGACATTTGGTATTTTTTTTTTAATACATTTGATATTATCTACACTAAAGAGTAGGAGTTGAGTTGAACCTCACAATAAGTGACCATTATAATTTGGTTTCTCTTTGACAATCAAACCTAAAACATCTCACTTACAAGTGAAGAAAAATATCACTAGACTGTAATCCTAAGAGACAATTGATACGTGTCATTTTATTACACAAAAACAAGATTTTTTTTTTTGCTAATACACAAAAACGATATTGCGGATAAGAATTAATAATGAAAAATAGAAAATATAATTTCACATGCATTAAAGTTCTTGTTTTTTTATATAATAAATGACACATGTCATTTGAAGAAGAAAAAATGTCTAAACGCAAAAGTTAGTGAAAAGGTTGTTAAAATTTCTCTGAAAAGAAAATTATAGATTTGAATTTTGAAGCGAAAACACAACAAAAATGCTTACCAAAGAAAGGTATTGAGAAAAAGATAATAGAGAGACCAAAATTTTAAACTAAATTTGCAAACCAAAGATATGTTACTAATAGAAAATAATAAAGCTTGTTAATCGACATTTAGTAATAATTCAATCATCAACATCCACATCATTTGATTTACAAAATTTGGTTTAAAAATTTAATCTCTCTACCATTATCCTTAAGAAAATATTATCCCCGTGAACTAAGCACGAGTGATCATTACCACACGATCTTAAGGACATAAATACAAAGAATTTGGAGAAAAACGAAACTTTAAACGATGACCAAACAAGTTCGAGTATGAACTTCTGTAAGTTTTTGGGCATGCACACACCTAATGTTGCAGAGAATTCAACAAACAACAAGGTTATTGCCGCTGCCGGGCACATAGCTGAGTGGTTCTGCATATTTAACTAGCATGTCATCAGCATAGAAATCAAACTCTCGCAGCAGCGGATCAGAGCAGCCCCCAGTTCTGTTTTTGCTTTCGAAAGCATGGTATAGTTCTGTCACAAAAATACTAGCTCCGAACATGAAAATATTAACCACATCAATCCTTGAAACGATGAATCATCCGAAACACCATAAATTTAGTAGAAAAATAATCCGAAACTGAATAACAATAAATCGACAACATCGATCAATCCATCAGATCATGTTCAAATTGTTCGGTTCTAAGGTGACTGCAAATGAAGTTAGACTATCTCATCATTTCAATATCTTCTTCACAACCCAAGACACTCAAATAGTCACTAATGACAACTATGATGATCAGAACATTAAGTCGTGCTCCTCCGCTAGCGTTGTTGAAGGCATCCGCATCATTGATCTTTATCTCGGAATATGTAAACTTTGAGTGCACATTTAGAGGTATTCGGTATCACCTCAAGTACACACACATCCCCTTCTTCAAGTCTATTGTCTCTTGCAAACGCTTTCCAACCATGATCCTGGAATCTTGCACATGTCTGACAGTTGTATACCTGGATAATGCACTTAACAGACCAAGATCTCATATCTGAAATCTTTAGAGTCACCTTGCGTTCGCCGCTTTCACAAATATGTTCCTGGGCAAAGTATATAGGTAATTTCTGCAAAACAGGAATAAAATAAAACAAGTTAAACACATATGGACGAAGCCAAAATGGGGTTGATGTTAGTCACATATACAAACTGGGGTTGCTGCAAAAAAGCTTACCAAGTGAGTTGAAATGTATGATGGTCGCATTCTGATCACAACAAATGGATTGCGAGATTTGAAACTTCTAGCTTTCGCAAAGGCTCTTTCAGTTTTATCTTCCAATTCACTCTGAGCAGTTCTCGAAAGGACCTTTGGTGATCTGTGTGCAGCAGACATGCCTCCATCACCACCTGTTTAATTCCAATTATTCAACTCCAAGAGAGGTTTAAGAAGAAAAGGAAAAATCTCAAAAGTATTCTAAATGTGCACTCAAACCACAGTGAAGATACCGTGAGTCCTCCTTTCCTTGTCATGCTTCATTCTTTGACATTCAATTTCCCCACTTGAATTGGAATCGGTTTCATCTTCATCGCTTAAATTGAAGTAGTCCATCTCTAAAGTATTCCTTCGAAAAATGCGAACCTGGAAATGGGAATAGACCCCTTTGTAGGTGAACAACAATAAGCACCCCAGCTCGAGGAAGTAAAATCGAGCAAACTTCAGCCAGCCCCTTCGTAACCAAATCTCACAATCACGCCTTGACAGTTCTACTGGCCATACTAATCCATTTGGAACTTCAAGGAACATTTTGTCTCCGATAAAATCTTCATATTTCATTGAACCTATCGGTGGAATTTTCTGTAGTCGATAGCACATTTCATGAAGAAATAAAAACAAGAAAATATTACTGGAACATTCAGCTGCTTGTTTTATGTAATTTATAATGAAGATTATGATAAACTTTATAGGCCCAACATGGTCCACCACCAGTATCACCGATATTGTCCCAACTTAAAAGAACAAGTCGATGCAAGAATCATCATATAACATACCAGTAATTAGTAAAGTTTGATTAGCACAGGGGTATGACGATTTACGATATACATACCAGTTCGAAAACAAGATCAAAATATACATAGGAGCAGGTAAATGCAGGATATGTGCAAGGCAAGTCAACGGTTTTCTAGAGAAGATGAGAAATATTACCACAAGATTTCAACTTTCATGCTAAGAATATCAACTGAAGTTCACAACTTCAAGCAGAGAGAATATAGGTAGAGATAGAATAAAAGGAAGCAAAGTTATAACTTACGATCCTCCCATCTCGAAGTGTATCATCCAGGACAACCTTGAAGAAGCTTGGAGGAGCATTCAGCGGAAACGCAGGGCCTTTACCATTTCTCTTGCTACACGACCCCATTAGAGGTGACTCGGATGAACCAACATTATCTGTCTCACCACTTAAGTTGTCTTCAACATTAAAAAATGAACCGAAGTCTTTCTCTAAACAACTCCTCGAGAAAATCCGCACGTGGAAGTGAGAATGATCTCCTTCAAAGCTGAATATCAGTAAGTTCCCATGGTCTAGTGAGTAAAACTCTGCGAATTTTGACCAGCCCTTGTTTAACCAAACCTTGCCGTCACGGCTAGTCAATCCTATCGGCCATTTTTCTCCATTCGGAACCTTGAGAACTACGTTGTCTCCTAGATAATCTCCATACACAACCACAGCACTCTCTGGAAGTCTCTGCAATGGATAACTTGCTCTGAGTAATATGACCATGTATCTATAGTTATCTACAATATCAAGACTACATGTGACATAAATTAACGAAGGGACATTATGATTTGGACTGCTCATCGGCATCGGATTGATTTTCTAACAATGGTTCATTTGGGATGCCAAAAATGAAGGCCATATTTTAGCATGTTAAAAGCCGAAATGAGTGCTTTTGGCTTTAATTATAAGTTCCAAAAGGAAGCAGATCAAAGTTTTAGTGTGAAAACAACAACTTATGTTTTTAAGAGAAGTAATCAGTAAAAGAGTTGTGCCTTTTTAATCTGAAAAGGAAAGCAAATTAACCAAAAAGGGTAAGAATTTCTCAAGAAACTACATGTACAGCAGCTAAAATTTCATATGAAGGGAAACGAATGAAGAATAAAAGGCCAAAAAACAGAGCATTTTATAAAGGTCCCAACTTTCAAGTTACAAAAAATGAGAAAAATGACAAGAAGCAAAGTTTTGATCAACTTACAAGCTCTCTCTCTTGAAGATCTTTTGCCATGACAATCTTGAAGAAACTGGAAGGAGCCATTGGAGGGGAGAGAGAGAGATACTGAATGAGTGAGAGTTGAGATGAAAAATGAGCCTACTTTAAATGTCTGTGCCGCTCAGTACTACGGTCTGGTAGTATTCCTCTTCACTTGGAAGTGAGAGGTATTATGTTCGAATTTCGTGTTTTTGCATCTTTCTCATTTGATCTGAACCGTTTATCATGCCATTGTTTTGACGACTTCTGATCTCTCATAACAATTTCTCTTGTACTTTCTTGGTTACTTAAATTTTTTGAACCTGAATCTAATTTTTTTAACTCAAAAACAGTTTTTGAGTCTCAAGCTTAAAATTTTTGTTTAGTAAGACTATTTTGAAAATTTTTGACTGATTTTTTTTTTAGCATATAGATATTTTAACACGAGAATGAGGAGTTCGGTAAAGACATCGACTGAATTAGACTCATGGTCAAACTACAAAATTCATTTTTGTAATTTGGCTTCACATAAACCCCCAGCGTAAACCCACCAGGGCCACCACCAACGTAACCCCCAACCATGCGCCACTCCTTAAACCCCTCCGCCAACATTGCCGCCGTCTGCGTTGGGCCCATAACAACGCCCATAGGCCGTCATCGACGGCGCCACCAAGGCCGCCACGGCCGCCGCAGAAGCCCGAGAGCTTCAACTTCCACGACCACCCGTGGGAGGACTCCTACAGCTGGATGTCGAAGCTCAACGACAAAGTGGCAAGAGGAGAAGTACACGGAGGCCGTCATGTCCGTCACCGACCGCCTTCAGAGCAAGCTCCAGGCCGAGATGGCCTCTCGCATCGGCTCCGACCTCTCCACCCCTCCCCTCCTCTGGGGCCCCTGGTATTTCTGGGTTTCCGATGCTTGAGAGTGAGAATCAAATGCTTGCAGGTTGTACTACCGGCGCGTGGAGGAGGGGAAGCAATTTCCGGAGCTCTGCCGGAGACTCGCGAGTTTAAACGATGAGTTCATTTCGCACAAATCGCCTTCCTCCGGATTCGATTTCACATCGGGAAAGAGGATCGAGCAGAAGCTCATTGATTACAATCAGGAGTCCCAAAGATGTGGGGGTAAATTGCCAATCTTTTACTAATTTATGTTAAAAGTTGGAAATGTTTTGTTTTGTTGGGAATTTAGTTTGAGTTTAATTTTGATATGCTTACGAAGAGTTATCGAAGGTGTCGCCGGATCCTCGGTTTATAGCTTACACAATGTATGATAAGGAGGCTGACTTGTTTAGATTATCTGTTAGGAATTTGAATTCTGGTGCATTGTGTGGTAAGCCGAAAGCAGAGTGTGTTTCGAATTTGGCTTGGGCCAAACACGGGCAGGCATTGCTTTATGTTGTCACTGATGAAAACAGGAGGCCATATAGGCTAGTATTATGCGAAATTTTACTGTTTATGAATGTTATTCTGTTATACCGGAGTGAAATGTTGGTAATTGTAGCCTATTTGGTCAATCAGGATATATTGTAGCGCGATTGGATCAACTGATGATGATGTTTTGATTCTAGAAGAACCGGATGAGGAAGTTTATGTTAACATTCAACACACTAAAGATTTCCATTTTGTGACAGTGTATACCTTCTCCACCATGTCTTCCAAGTTCCAAGGTATACTTTTGAAGATGACTCTGTAATAGGAATTGGCTAAAGCATCGATTTTTGCATGTGGTCCAATATTCTCCTTGGTAGGGTGTACCCGGTTCGAAACTCTCCATTTCCCTAAATTATTGTAATAGTTTTGAACCCTCCGCATCCCCTTAATAATAATAAATTAAAAAAAGAGATATAGTAATTTGTAATTGTGACCTCATTTTAGATGTTTTTGATAAATGCAGCTAATCCATTGTCTGGGGTGAACTTAGTTTGGGAATGTAATGGTATAGCACATGGCATACTTGAGCATCACCAAGGATTTCTTTATCTGTTTACGGATGCTGCTAAAGCAGACCAGTCAGTTGATTACCATTATCTTTTTCGGAGTCCACTGCATTCTTCTTCCAAGAATATGGGAGGTCTGTGATTAACTATGTGTTACGTTTGTTTCTCATATCAATCTTTCATTTTTTTTATTTTAAAGTTTTCTGCTTTTGAATGGTTTTTGTTCTCTGCTTGTGATATGCCCTATAGCAGTTCTCTTTGTTATTAAAATGATTTTATGTTAGTAGCTTTTTTTTCTAGCATCAAGTATAAGCATTTCAGTTCGATTATCTGTTTTATCTGAGTATTTTTCTTGTTTAATGTGGATAGTTACCCCCAGGCGTTAATTTACCATCTGATTTACTGCAGAATGTATTTGGTAGTTATTTTACGGGAAGGGCAAAACTTTAAACTTTGTTCTGTCACTGTACCTTTGCCTGCTGGGAAGGTAGGTTAACAGCACCAATTTTGGGGTATGTCATATGTGTGCATCATGCATTGTTATCAACAATTTCAATGTAGAAGAATTTGAAATTTTCTCTTGACTGTTAATATTCTCATTCGTTTAACCTTGTGCTGTCTCAGGGGCCAGTGCACCTAAAAGAGCTTCACCCACAATTCCTGCCTCTTCCAAAATATGTTATGCAAATTTCACCTGGACCAAATTATGATTACCATTCACCAGTGATGCGCTTTACAATATCATCGCCTGTGGTATGTGAGTAAAAATGATCACTTCTAAAGATTGTTGCAGGATTCTTCCATAGATTTATGCATTCATAATGTGTTTCCATCAAAGAAAAGAAGTTAAAATGTCACGACTGTAATTTGAACTTCTTCCTTTTCTAAGTGGGCTGTGTAAATTAATCCTTTCGCCAAACAATTGATCTCAAAATTACCATTGTCTACCCAGCTTGGTTTAGAATTTGCGACTTTTTAGAAGTTCGAGGTTTTCACTTTTCAGATTAGGTTTATTAATAAGCACAATATGCATCCTTCTGTTTTTAAGATTACTGAATCTGTACTACTCTGGAGTCATCTATCCATTTTTGTTCCATGTCCAAAATTCAGATTATGAACCCAATCTTCTTAACTTTCCCAGATTCCCGATGCTGTGGTTGATTATGACCTGTCAAATGGAAATTGGAATATCATTGAACAGCAGAATATTTTTCGTGAAAGAACACGAATTTTGTTGGAACAACTTCCATAGAAAGCATCAACGAGGAAGCCATAAATTCAAAACCTTTGAATCTTATAACCGATTCCAACTCTGATGATGCTCAGTTGTGGAAAGATCTTTCTGAGTTTTATGCTTGTGAACAGTATAATGTATTTTCTTATGATGGAGTTTTGGTTCCATTGACTGTTGTAAACTCCCGCAAAAAACTAGAAAGAGGATCTGAACCCTGGATTGCTTCATGTCCATGGAGCTTACCGTGAGCTTCTTGACAAGCGATGGCGCAGTGAGTTGAAAAGCCTTCTTGATCATGGTTGGATCATTGCGTATGCTGATGTTAGGTCTGGTTTGTGTTGAATACCATTTCTAAGTTATTTGTGGCTTAATTTCAGGCATACTAAATAATTGACATCATCAGCACTGCAAAACTCAAATTATTTTTCCTTTGGAAAGAGCCTTGTGATTGCCTACTAACTATGTCTGGATAATATTTCCAGAGGCGGAGGAGGTGGAGGTAAGAAGTGGCACCATGACGGACGACGTACACAGAAGACTAATTCCATCAAAGACTACATCTCCTGTGCCAAATTTCTTGTTGACAGAGAGATTGTCCATGAAAACAAACTTGCTGGTTGGGGTCATAGTGCTGGAGGACTCATGGTTGCTTCAGCCATCAATCAATCCCCATATCTATTTAAGGCTGCAATTTTGAAGGTAAACATGGATCTTCTTCCGCTTTTGGTTTTTATTGTCATTTAGGTTTCTGATTAGTTCTTGTTGTATAGTTTTGATGTGGTTTGCTTTGGTTAAATAGACTTTGTTCTTTCTAATTTGGGTTTTGTTTTGCTTCTCAACTCGAAGAGAATCTCATCATATTTTCTTGACCATTGTGATTTGGCAATTGAAAGATCATTGGTAATTGAGGGAAACTAATTCATTGGGAACTTCATTTTGCAAGCATATGTTTACAAGGAGGCATTCCATTCTTTATCGTTTGTAATTAAATACACTTAGTCATGCTGAATTTCTTGTGATTAGCTTCAGAAATGAATTCATTTGCTCTGTGCTTCAGTTTCCATTTTTAGACGCAACGAACACTCTTCACTCTCCCATTTTACCGCTTACAGCTGCTGACTATGAAGAGTTTGGATACCCTGGGGACATTGATGATTTTCACGCTATACGTGACTATTCTCCTTATGACAATATTCAGAAGGATGTTCTTTTTCCAGCTGTCATGATATCCTCATCTTTCAATACACGGTAATTGTTCATATGCCCTACGTTAATTCACTTTTTAACTGCTTTGCAAGGATGTGAATATTCTCACAAGATGAACGAGGAGGATTCTCAGAAGTCAGAAAAACGGAAAGAGTTGGCAGCGTGTTCATGATCTGTTTGCTTGACATGTTTCAGGTTTGGAGATTGGGAATCTGCAAAATGGATCTCACTGGTTCGTGAACTTACAATTTAAGACCAAAATCGTCCAATACTGCTTTAATCTAACGACAGATAAGTGGAGAAAAACAGGTACCTCAAGTGCAAGGAGTTGGCACTGGAGTCTGCATTTCTTATAAAGGTGATGGAATCATAGACCCTAGATTTCGCTTTTCCTGGCCGTAGTGCATCTGTTCATCAGCAACAGAGAAGCTAGCTGCCAACCAGGATCGAATCAGGGCAAAAGTTATCGGTTTCCTATTCAAGTTTCGGATTCCCTTTCAATCACTGTATGTCTTCATACACAAATGGTCTAACCTAATTTAGTTCATTATGCTAAACCAACCTGTGGAATCAAGCCAAAAGATCATCCCCGGAGAAACCATCATGTGGTACTGGAACACTGTCACGTGGAAACCAATCCACGTGTTATAATCTGTATGGCACAAGTTGCTTTCAACTAATATGTTCATATTTTGTTATCAGTACATTTGTCATTGAAATTCAAGGTAAGATAAAGGTGGCATAATGGCATTGTCCTCTTAATATTTTACCTTATCTATTTGTAAAAGCTTTCTGTCATAATATTAATATATATAGTTTCAGTTGGCAACTAGAAACAAATTCAATGGGCTCAAATTTGTCAACCGATCGCTGTCATCACCCACGCTGGAAAAGTTTCCTTCACAAGTTAGCTTTTCCCAAATACCCACTTCCCCCACAAAAGGATTCCTAAATAATGTGGGATGTGTATGTGCCGGTTAGGTGTCATTGCTTTATTTCTTTACAATGACAGCCATAAATGATCAGATTTTAAATCTCACTTGTCAATTGTTGAAACGGTCAACATTTGATTTAAAACTAAGATCAACCGGAAGTATCATATTATAAATCTCAATTGTTAAAATAATTACCATTTAATTGATACGTCGTCAATTGATCATTTCATTTTCCATAACACCAAACTCTTTAAGAAAAGGACCCTAAAGCCTTACACAAATAAAATAAAATAAAATAAATACATTCTTTTAGTAGGTGTGGTCACAGTTGGGTTAAATTTAGTTACTAAAAAGCACCGGTGACAACCGATCCAAACCAAGCCGTCATTAGCCAGCTCCGTTTGCCGGTTTTCGAAGTCCGTAGGGCAAAACTTATCACACATCTTCATAAGAACAATGCTAAAAAGCACAAGAGTGCAAAATCAATGAATCTTTTTTTACAAGTAGTCAATTATTTATACCGTGAATTGTACAAGAGCAGAGTGTTAGTAGTGGGAACAGTTCCAATCTAATTCTGCTTTTGGATTAGAGATTTGTATGAATTTGCCTAAATCCATACACATCTCTAAACCAACTCTACAACAATACTTCCTTTCTGGCAGAAAATAGATAACAAGGGAACATAAATCTACATAAAAACCTAAAGGCGAAAGACGAGAATACAGAGGCTAACAGATTCATCTACCTGCATCGATGAGCAATCTGTGGAAGAACAAAAGAATGCAACTACACAGAAAAATCAGGAACTAGGGCCGTTCCATTCTTTCGGCATGGAAATCATCAGCTCGGATGCTCAGACAGTGATGACAAATAATTTCGCCATCAAATTGATCATTTCGTTTCTTAACTTTGATCAATATCATGGACAGATGTTACAGATTTCGTCTCAGATTCTTCAAAGACAGTTGACAGCCCACCCTCTCTGATAAAGGTTGGATTAAGAAAATTTGCTATAAAAGCCCATAACTTGTAAACATCTTCAAAGTTGGTAAGGAATCCCAGAGAAGCCGTCACAACCTCAAGGCGTACAAACTCGCTTTTTTTACCATTTCTGCCGTTCTCCATTGGCCTGCAAAGGGTAGCATCTTGAAGATTCAAAACACCATTTTTCTGTCTTGGACTATCCATGATTCGTATGTGACTGAGGATACCAACACCAAGTGCAATTCCTTCTTTTTCAGCCAGCTTCTGGACAACTTCTGGATTGATTAGCCCTCTATTCTGGTCTTTCACATTAAAAGCTACAGCTGCTCCCCTTTCGTATTTTATTTTGGGGCCATAGATGTCAACAAGATTTGTTCTTTTGTCTTCATCTGATCCACGCAATCTTAGTTGTAGCAAGGAGGTCACAAGCCAATTGGCCAAAAATCGCAGCCGGGAGGTGGTTTTATTGAGACCTAACGTATTAACATGATCAAGATGCCGGCATATTATCTCAGGTTCCCTCCTGTCCAAGTCTTGCCCATCACCATATGCTCCATCACTAGCGGACTCTTCATCCTCCAGACTAGTTGCAGAAATTTCTCCTGTCTCAAGATTATGGCTTACGTGGTCTTTTTCCGCACTAAAAGACACCCTTCTCCCCCGGCTTGGTTGCTCATTCTCTTCCAAACTAAAAAATCTACCATTTCCATATTTACTCCCCTCCCTTCTCCCTAACAACCTAAATTCACCTTCAGTTTCTCTTCTTATGGCACCACCACTAATCTCTGTGCAACTTCCAATGGTTGATCCATTTTCTAGGTTCTGATGCTGATAAGTGGAAGTTGAATTTTCATGACAAAATCCATTTGTGCCAGAATTAAACACTGACCCATTGGACAAGGGTTCGATAGTTCCACATTCTTCTTGGATCTCTCCATTATGATGATCAGAAGCCCTTTCACCATTTCGTGAAGTGGGACATGCTTCTGCAAATTGTTCTTCATTGACCTCCTTGACACAGTCCAGCTCCTGAGAAATTGATAGGACGGCGGCGTCAAATGATAGCACATGAGAGTCATCATGTAGCCCTGAGTTTGCCTTTTTATCATCAAATATGGGGCTACCATACAGCCTAGAAGCAGGTTTTGGGGAAACTTGCTTACGATTCTTCCTGCCAGAAAACCAAAATGGAGGCTGAGGAGAGGCAATCTTATGTTTGTTAATATGACCAGAATGGTCGGAACCCATTGGGCTCTGACCCAAACCAATCCAATACGAATTGTCTGATGAATAGTCTTCACTGAAGATTGGACTCTTCATAAGCTCCCCCGCTGAGACACTCTCAGCTTCTTCAAATAAGGTGCTCGTCCCATCCCTGTCTGAGCTGTTATCGTGATCCATCTCAGTCTCAAATACATCCCTCACCTGAGAAGATGTGTATGCTCCAGAGAATGCAGGCATCTGCTTTCCCTGCCGAGTTTCAGTGGTTATCTCACCATTTTCAGTTACTTCATCATCCTCAGTTCCAGCCAATTTGTCCATACCATCAACCGAATCACTAAGATATAAAGGGTATTCAGGGGTAATCTTCACCATTCCAGACCCAGTTGACCCTGACTGATTTTGAAGGCATCCGATTACTGATTTCTTAATCAGAAGGCAGCCAAATCCAGTTGGATCAAACCCAAATACCTTGTAAAACGATGTGATGATAAAATCAGGCCGGAAAAGCGACAGTCCAAGTGAATCCATGTCTTTGGGACCCAAAGACCCGGCATCAAGTAAGACATGCCAATTGTTCTGCTGAGCCAGTGCCATCCATTGGTAAGAATACTTGGCCCCAGTAACTCTAGACTGCACCGGAAACACAAAAAGACCAGCCGCGGAATCCTTCTTCCTCCTCTTCTTAATCGAAATCTCCTTTCTCAAATCAGCGGAACAGAGTTTGAGGGTTGGCCATTTAAACCAAGCACTGTGCACCTTTGCACCTTTCTCTCTAGCACTCTGAGCCATCCAATTCACAGACTGGCTCTCATAATCGAACATCGTCAACAATTTCTTGTTCGTATGAAAAGGGTACGATTCAGCCAACAATTTAAATGCAGAACCTCTACTCACAGTAAAAACAAGACCATATTCACTCTCAGGAATGTTCAAATAATCCACAATCCTAGTTTTTATATCATGTTCCACAGTGCCTTTCTCAGCACCACCATAAAGTGCATGATTATTCAAATTTGCAGTTATCTCAGACAAGCTAAATGTAGAAGAATCCCAATAGTGCAGTGTCTGAAGGTACGAAAAAAGCCCAAAACCGCAGTAATCAAGGCATACCTTTGGAGACAAATGTGCATACTCCTCCACCCTCAGCTGATCGATCTTCTCCGAAGACTGGTAATCCGGGTACATAGTGAGGAACTTTGTGAACGCTTCATGGAGCTCAGGGATGGCGTTTTCGGACTCGAAAATCCGGTCAGCAGCAAGAGCAGTGGCACAAAGAAACTCCCGCTGGGCATGGAGCCTAGCGAGCGATCTGGACCGTCCAATCCCCTCGTCCCGGTAGGCAATGGCCTCAGACTCCATGTCCTGAGATTTGAAGAGAAACCCATCTTCCGAAGCTTGCTCCAGAGCCTCCCTGAGCTTGTTTTCTTGAAGCTTCCGGAGAATTGACGAGTTTTTCTTGGCGTCGGAGTTCGAATCCGACCCATCTTTCCTTCTTCTGCTGCTGCTCTTCTTGTCCAGGAACAGAGCAACGCAGTGGGAGAAGGACTTCCACAGTGAAAAATGCATGAATCCCTAATTCCTCTTTTGGGAATTGAGATTTAGGGGAGATTAACAAAACCCAAATCTCGATAAATTGAGATTTGGGTTGAATTTTCAGAAAGGTAGGAACTTTTACAGAGATGGGAAACCCCCGATTTGAAAGGAAAGGTAGGTACTTCTTCCAGCTCAAAAATCCCACCAAACGTCAACCGTCAGTGCAGCAGCACATTTAATGGGAAAGCAAGCCCACCACCACTACCACCACCTCACTAAATGCTCTCATTTACTCAGATTCTGTAAATCCAAAACACATAGGTGTGTTGATTTGGCAACACCCAATACCCTCTCTCTCTACAACTCTCTCTCTCTCTCTCTCTCTCTCTCTCTCTCTACAATCGTCTTCCCACACCAATCCCCGGTTAACAAACAGAGAGAAAAAGGGCATTGACTTTCACAAACCCAATGCCAAATGGTGCTTTCTGCTTTGTATATGAATTTTTTCGCTTTCCAATTTTCAATCAATCCATCCATGATAAATTAACACTCAGGCTTTGGTTTTTTAATCTGTTGGTGGTGGGACCCTTTGGGGCCACATTCCTCTTGGGGTCAATGGTGAAAAGTCAAATGTCAGTAGGCTGAGGCTGTTTCTCTCCAACTTGGCAGCTTGAATGGATTTTTCGTAACTCCTCGATCTATCATTCGAATCTCAAATGACTTTTTTCAATCAACAGATTCTTGGCCTTTGAAGAGATTATTTTGGACTTGGTTAAATTTTTTTTTTTTTTGTTTTTTTGCAGAGAGTGGCTTAAAAGACGGAGGATTCAGATTATTCCGCAACATTATACTGTAAAAAAATCGAAAAGGTAGAATAAGAATATCCAAATGATAAGATTGTTAGCATCGTCGCATGGTAAAACAAAAACATAAAAAAATTACTTGTTACGTATTCAAAAAATATTCACAATGTTCAATCAATGACCGCCACATGGTAAAACGGAAACATGAAAGAATCTCTCAGACCAAAAGAGAAATCATTTATTGTCATTGAATTTGTATACTTAGATTGTTTTCACTTCGTATCTTCAGTGGCAGAGGAGTGTGGCTTCAAAGACTACATTTTTTTTTTTCCTTTTCTGCCAAATGCCTTAAATCCACAACCAAATTGTACATGAAAAGTAGAAGTTTGGTTGCTTTGAGTTTGAGCCATCAATTAATGCCCAAAATTATTTCATGCTGCAGTTTTGAAATAAAGCATGGATCTTTTTTGGTTTGAACTTTTAATTGCCTTTTTTGTTTGGCTGCTTTGGTTAAATGGAGTTTGATCTTTCCCTTATAATTCCCTTTTTTTGTTTACTTTTTCATTAAATATGACTATTCTCCTTTATCACAGTATTCAATAGAGATGGACTAACTCTAACTTAAATGGTATTTCTCTTCGCAATGTTATAATATGGGATAGTATTTTTTTCATATTTTTTTTACCTCTCACATTCTTGTTTATTTTTGTTCATTGATCTTCTTCAATTTATTTTTTATCCGACGATCAAAAATTAAAAAAAAATATATGTGAAAGGTAAAAGGGGTATGCAGATAACACCACTCTATAACGTGCTTCGAGTTCGAGTATCCTCCGTTTAATGTTCTATTGTTAGTTTTTTTACTGATATGAATAGGTCCAATGGGTTATGGAGTTTGGTTGTGGCAGCTGAATGGATGTGAAAAAATGCAGGCAGCTCTTTAATGAGCCGATAAAATGAAAAAAGTGGGTTGTGCCAAACAAAAAGTTTATGGTGATTCAGAGTATTTTATATCCCAAGATTTATAATTATTAAATCTTAATTATTATAATCTTGATCAAGATTGTAACAATTAAAATTTTCAAAATATAAAATATTCTGAAGTATACTAAAAAATTAGGGTGATGAAAATTGAAATGGTAAATTTCATTTCACACCAACTACCAAGAATAGGTTTCCTCTATCTGCAAATTAGGTTCCCCAATAGCCTCCAAATTTGGTTTCTATCAACACAGATAAAATTAGGAGTCAAAACCCATAACTACCATTCTCTCTGTGTATTATTCTGGTTGGAATAAAAAGATTTGCCTTATAATATGGGATGTGTTTTTGCCTTATAATGCAGTGACAATAAGCTACCCACTCCAACTAAAGGCGAGAATCTATCTTTTAACTAGTTGCATGCATCATCATGTGGCAAAAGAGATAGATACGTGAAAATATACAGTCGGAAATGATTTAGAGTGAGAGAGAGCCACATAACGCACAAAAAGCTAAAAGAGAAGTCTAATGATATATACTTTAATCACTGTAATTCCAGGGGAAACAAAACTCAATGGGTATGGCCTACTGAAGATTATTACTACCAAAAAAAAAAAAAAAAAGACCTCCATGCCACACATTTAAATCCGCCACTCTTTAATCTTTAATTTCTTTCTACTTTTTTGGCTGACAAGATTCACATTCAATGGCTCAATGTGTATCCATATTCTGCTGTTGTCATATGGTAAAAATAACAAGTTTTATGCCTACTTTGGCATAATGAAGTTAGCCAAGGCAATGTGACCTCCATACCCAATTTCAACCGCGTGGTTTATATTAGAATGTCGCTCAACTAAACAGCAGGTTTGGTGAAAAATAGAAGCTGAAAAACATAATAAACATTGAATTTCAAATGAATTTTCTACTTAAATAGAGACAGATCCTTCTGTCTCTATTTTGTTTTTCACCAGAATATACCCATCCCATGGCCTCTCTCAATTTTAATCAAGGGGAAAGTTTAGGGTAGCAACTTTCACTCCAGTTTTCTCCTCCGCACGCATCCCCTCGTTTCAGTCTCTTAATTCTTCTTTTATTTATTCAATCAAACGGCTATAAATAGAGGGAGAAGTGCAGCGGGACAATGCGAGTGCAAAATCACTTTCCAGAATTTATCATGCATCTTCTGGGGAAACATGATAAAAACAGAGAAAAATGAGGAGCAAAATCTGAATTTCCTTGCAAGAAATAAAATACTGAAAGAGCAGAAAGTGGACAAATGGCAGTAGTTACAATCCTAACTCTGCTTTTGCATTACCATTTCTGAAGATGATACAAACTTCTAAACCAACTCTACAAGAACCCCCAAAAGTGAAACAGGAAAGAAGGAAAATACAGAGCAATAACAAATATGAATCAACAAATTCATCTGCCTGCATTGTTGAGTTTCCGAGCAAACGAGCAACAGAATCCACCCATACAGGAACAAAACCATTCCCGCTTTGGCTTGGAAATCATCTGCTTAGACGTTTTGAGAGACCACCAAACATTCTTACACATCAAACAAAGGAAATTTGATTCTCAATTCGGAACAATCTCATCGTGAGATGCTTCAGATTTTGTCTCAGATTCTTCTTCGACAGTAGACAGCCCACCCTCCCTGACAAAGGCCGGATTTAGAAATTTGGCCAAAAAAGCCCACAGCTTGTAAACATCCTCAAAGTTGGTGAGAAAACCCAAAGAAGCTGTTACAACCTCAACCCGTACAAACCCACCTTTTCTTCCATTTTCCATCGGCCTGCACAGCGTAGTATCTTGAAGATTCGAAGCCCCATGCTGTCTCGAGGTATCCATGATTCGTATGTGATTGAGGAAACCAATGCCAAGAGCGATACCTTCTTTTTCAGCCAGCTTCTGAACAACTTCAGGATTGATCAACCCTCTGTTTTGGTCCCTCACATTGAAAGCCACAGCTGCACCTCTTTCATATTTTATTTTTGGCCCATAGATGTGAACCAAATTTGTTCTGCTGTCTCCATCTGAACCAGGTAACCTTAACTGCAGTAACGAGGTCACAAGCCAGTTGATCAAAAATCGCAATCGGGAGGTGGTTTTATTGAGGCCCAACATATTAACATGATCAATATGTCGGCATGTGATCTCCGGTTCCCTCCTGTCCCAGTCTTGTCCATCACCATATTCCCCATCACTGGTGTAATCTTCGTCGTCCAGACTAGCTGCAGATATCTCTCCTGTCTCAAGACTATGGCTTCCATGATCTCTACGGTTATCTTCTACGCTAAAGGACACCCTTCTCCCCCTGCTTGGTGCTTCAGTCTCTTCCAAACCAAATAATCGACCATTAGTAAATTTACTCCCCTCCCTTCTTCCTAACAACCTAAATTCACCTTCAGTTTCTCTTCTTATGGCACTCTCTCTTATCTCTGCGCAACTTTCTGTGGCTGATCCGTTCTCTAGGCTACAATGCTGAGACGTTGAAGTTGAATTCTTGGGACAAAACCCATTTGTAGCAGAGTTCAAAACTGACCCAGTAGGTTTGCTGGTTCCACCTTCTTCCTGGAACTCCCCGTTATGATGATCAGAACCAATGTTACCATTATGTAAAGTGGGGCTGGCTTCTGCAAATTGTTCTTCAGGGACTTCCTTGACACGGTCCAAATCCATTGAAACTGATAAGACAGCGGCGTCAAATGATAGCACATGGGAGTCATCGTGTGACCCTGAATTTACCTCTTTGTCATCATATATTGGATTGCCATGTATATTAGAAGTAGGTTTTGGGGAAAGTTGCTTATGGTTCTTCCTCCCAAGAAGCCAAAATGGAGGCAAAGGAGAGGTAATCTTCTGTTTGTGAATCTGGCCTGATTTGTCAGAACCCAGTGGACTCTGACCCAAATCAATCCAAATTGAATTGTCTGACGACTCGTCTTCACTGAACACAGGACTCTTCATCATGTCCCCTACTGAGATGCTTTCCGTCTCTTCAAATATGGTGCTAGTTCCATCCCTGTCAGAGCTGTTATCTTGATCCATCTCAGTCTCAAATACATCCCTCACCTGAGCAGCCGTGTATGCTCCAGAGAAAGCAGGCATCTGTGATCCATGGCGAGAGTCGGAGGGTTTCTCACCATTTTCAGCTACATGATCATCTTGAATTCCACCCAACTTGTCCAGACCATCTATAGAATCACTAAGATACATTGGGTATTCAGGGGTAATCTTCACCATTCCAGACCCAGTTGACCCCGACTGATTTTGAAGGCATCCGATAACTGATTTCTTAATCAGAAGGCAGCCAAATCCAGTTGGATCAAACCCAAAGACCCTGTAAAATGATGTGATGATGAAATCAGGCCTGAACAAGGATAAACCAAGCGAATCCATGTCCTTGGGACCCAATGACCCAGCATCAAGCAAGACATGCCAATTGTTCTGTTGTGCCAATGCCATCCACTGGTAAGAATACTTGGCCCCGGTCACTCTAGACTGAACTGGAAAAACAAAAAGACCAGTCGCAGCATCCTTTTTCTTCTTCTTTTTGTTCGTAATTTGCTTTCTCAAATCGGTTGAGCACAGTTTGAGGGTTGGCCACTTAAACCAGGCACTGTAAACCTTTGCACCTTTCTCTCTGGCACTCTGAACCATCCAATTCACAGACTGGCTCTCATAATCAAACATAGTCAACAATTTTTTGTTCGTTTGGAAAGGGTATGATTCGGCCAACAATTTAAATGCAGAACCTCTACTCACAGTAAACACAAGACCATACTCATTCTCAGGAATGTTCAAATAATCCATAATCCTAGCCTTTATATCATGTTCCACAGTGCCTTTCTCAGCACCGCCATAAAGCGCATGATTATTCAAATTTGCAGTTATCTCAGACAAACTAAATGTAGAAGACTCCCAATAGTGCACTGTCTGAAGATACGAAAAAAGCCCGAAACCACAGTAATCAAGGCATACCTTTGGAGACAAATGTGAGTACTCCTCAAGCCTCAGCTGATCGATCTTCTCCGAAGACTGGTACTTCGGGTACATAGTGAGGAACTTCGATAGAGCTTCATGGAGCTCAGGGATGGCGTCTTCTGACTCGAAAATGCGCTCAGCCGCGAGTGCAGTGGCACGGAGGAATTCGCGCTGGGTGTGGAGCCTAGCAAGGGATCTGGACCGGCCAAGGCCCTCCTCTTGGTTGCCAATGGGCTCAGACTCCACGTCCTGGGATTTAAGGAGTGATCCATCCTCCGATGCTTCCTCAAGAGCTTCCCTAAGCTTGTTCTCCTGAAGTTTTCGGAGAATTGAAGTCGTTTTCCGGATGTCAAGATTTGAATCTGATGACCCATCTTTCCGTTTGCTGCCGCTGCTCTTCTTGTCCATGAGCAGAGCAGCACACTGATATAAGGGCTTCCATAGTGAAAAATGCATGAAAGCTAATTGAATTCAATCTGAATCGAAAAACCCAGAGGGGAAAATTGGCTCTGAGCAGCAGAAACACTAGGGTTTTGGATTCAGCCCATCAAACCCTAGCTCCTCCCAGGCAAGAAAGAGGTGATTTTTGGCCAGATCAAAGAAAACCGACCTCTGGATTCCAATTGGACTTTCGAAAGGAAGCAGCTTTTGGTTCCAAACGCAAAATTAGAGGAGGAAAGGAAGCGAATTTACTTGAAAGCCAATAGCCGCTGCTGAAAAAGCCGGTGGCTCAGTGAAGCATTCGAACAATTTTCCAGGTCAAACCCACCCAAAATAGCATTTAAAAGAAACCCAATTTCCACAAAACGTCAACAAAGTGAATTATTCTGGAAATAAAGAAGAAAATTAAACGACCCCAAGGAGTGAAAATTAAAGGAAATGGGGTCAAACCCTAAAAACCCAGATCTCCAAAATTCCAAGGGAACCAACTTTTTGCAAAAGAGAAGAAATTCCCAAATGCACAAATGCTGGAAATTTCTTTCAAGAATCAAAGCCTTTCACTGCACCACAATTAATTGCAAGCTCTCTCTCTCTCTCCTCTCTCCTCTCTCCTCTCTCTCTCTCTAACTTTGACTCAATCCACAAACTACCACACCAATCGCTCCTCCTAATACCAACAGAGAGAAAGAACATTGACTTTCACAAAACCGAAACGTAAAATGGTGTTCATTTATTCATTTATATTTATTTAATTTTGTTTTTCTTTTCCGAATTTTTAATCGATCGACAATAATCAGGTTGCTTTGATGTTTAACTGTGTTGGTGGTGGGACCCACGGAAGGCACTACCATCCCTTCCACAGCCGCGCCTTAAAAGTCAAATAATCAGTTGGCTTTGGCTTTTGTGGATTGTCTGTCCTCTCATTTACATATTTTCTTTATTTTTTTCCTTTGTGTGGTCACGGTTATGTTATATCAATATTTTATATTTCTATTACTTTTTATTTTATTATTTTTATAAAAAAAATTAATATAAAATATTAACATGACTTAACTATGATCGCACATCATAAGAAGGCATAAAGAGGGTATGAAAATGGAATGGCAGACAATCCAACCCCTTGTACAACAGCTGATTTATGTCCAACTAGGCAGGAGGTAGCTGCCTAATTCGCAGTAGTGCTATCCAGAATCCAGGCTTATATTTTTACTTCTAATATATCTCCCTTAATTTTTGACTATTAGATTGAATAAATTGAGAAATATCAATGAGTAAAAATTAATGAGTGTATAGAAGATAAAAATGAGTGTATAAAGAGCACTATCCCTAATTCAAGTGAAAAATTCTAAGAAGATTCTCTTAAAGGTAAGCTCTCTATAAACTCTATATCATTTTACATCACAGTTTGATGCTAATTTTATGCTAATATTATAAAATAGTGTATTTCAATCCCAAATCAGTGTTTTTTTTTTTACTATTTGGTCTTCTAAAACACTAATCTTGAGAAAATGTTGGTCAAACGAGTTAACAAAAATAGTGTGTTTCCCTTGCCTCATAACGTTCATGTTTAAATCTCTCTTATTTTATCACTTTGTACTACAGTGTATGTGTATTTCTGTTAATTTGTAAGTGAGAGAATTTAGGTTCAATTCTCACCAAAGTCGAATTTGAACCATATTATTGTTAGCCCATTACGAGACTTAACCTACTATCTTGATCCTTTAATATAGATAATATCGTTTGTTAAAAAAAATTCTCATCATTTTATATTAGGCTATTTAGAATGTGGGGAAGTAACACTTGTTTAGTGTTAAGGATTGGAGCTTTTGACTTATTGGTCTCTTATCTTATCAATCTATCCAAAAACAAAGTAAAACTTATATGTTTTATTTTTTATTACCACAAGATTCTTCTCTCACTTTGATAGAAATATTTCTATGATGTAAAAATTGCTGTGTTCAAGCTATATGTTCAGATAAGTTTCACAAATAACTAATAGCGATGCAAAATCTTATAAAATAAAATACAATTAGCAAATCAAGCAGTGCAAATTGTCGAGAAGATATCCTCTTCGGATCTCTTCCACCAAGATCACCGGATCAAGTAATCCGGACCTTTGAAATTTTATCCAACGGTCTAAAATTATTATAGTTTTTAAGGGATCAAAACAGATGGGCCGTTGGATGAAATTTCAAAAGTCCGAATCACTTGATCTGGTAACCTTAATGGAAGAAATTCGAAGAGGATCTCTTATCGACAATTTGCGCCTGCTTGATTTGCTAATTGTATTTTATTTTATAAGATTTTGCATTGCTATTAGTTATTTGTGAAACTATAGGATCTCTTCTCCAAATTGTCCACTTGCTATCTTTTTCAGTTAGTTAAATAAGCATATTCCCTCATGAAAAAAAAAATAGTAAAACATAAGTTAAACAATTAGGCCTATTATTATTTGTCCACCACCATAAAATGACATCTAAATATCTTTTTTTTTTTTTGGCAAACGAAATCTAAACATCTTAATTAGTCAACTCTTATATCAATTTGACAAATAAAGATTTCAAATCGTTTTTAAGTTGGCTTTGGTTTCCTTTGTTTAGTGTGTTCTTGAATGTTAACCCCACTTGATTAACAAATAAAAACTTGGTTTGTTTTGATGTCTCCACAATTGGTGATTCAATAATTTTTTTTTTTGTCGGGTAGTGCTATTTGTACACTCCTTTTTACCTTCCACAAACTCTTATTAAGTTTTTGTCTATTGATTTTCTTAAATTCATTTAATCTGATAGCCAAAAATTGAGAGGGATGTATAAGAGGTACAAATGAGTATGTGGATAGCATCCCCTCTTTTTTTTTAAATGTTTAAAACCAATGAAAACCCTTAATTTGTTGCTTTGCGATTTGATTAAGGTATAAGTGTGTGTATATGAATTTTTTTATTTAATTTATATTTTATCCTTGTATATCCACCATGAATGCGTAAAAAGACTTTTATTTTCTTTAATTTATTGGGTTTAAACTCAATGCACATTCCAGAAATGATATTCTTGATAATATTAGTATCATTTGCTTGGAATATCTTCATTTCTTGATATTCATATCTCATAAGATATTTCTTGTGTTGTATATTAATATTATTGTACTGCAGCCATATCTTCTAGAGGTTTGAAAGTGGCAAGCCTCAAACTTTATATATTATGCAGGTCCTTTATATTTTTATGAATGAATATTCAAAATATAAATATGCCAACAACTAACTTTGATGTATATATAAGAACACGGCTTGCATTCTTATGGATAATGAGTCATTCTTTCATAATAGTTAATCACAATTTTACGTACGTATAAAAACACAAAAGCAAACTTTATATACATGTTAACTTAATCAAACGGTATTTTATTTGTGAAAATGAATGATTTCTTTTAGGCAAATAGTCAGGTATTTCATCACCTAGAGAGATTTTTATGTGTGCTGCAAATTCGATTCGGTACATCAAGTGTCACAATACACATGGTTGGATACTTGAAAAATAAAAATTCAACTGTTTATATTATGGCACTTAGTGTACCAAGTCACGTTCCGGCATCCTAAAAAGTTATCCATTACATATAATATGTACCCCATGAGAGTTGAAAAGAAGAATGTTTGTTGAAAATTAATGGATGCCTTTTGAAGGAGTGCTTTTTTTTAGATTTTAATTTAAAGAAAACTAATAAAAATAGCATGAAAACTTTAAGTTTTAACAAAAATGACAAAATAAAGGGTAAAGTGAATGGTATCATAATTGATTTTTGTGATTTTTCGTTAAAGTGAACAGTACTATGAATTTTTCGTTAAAATTTTCTTTAATTTATGATGATCGTTTCCAAGATGTAGGATAACGATGAAGTAAAACTGTCATCAAGATATTAATGCAGGACACATAGTAATTGTATTAATAAGGTTACCAATAGAAGTTTAATGCAGTAGTTTTTTTTTTTTTTTTATCACCTCGGTTTGATCTAGTAGAAGAAAGCAAAAACATGAGAAATGTTAAGAAAATTCTCTCAAAAGTGAGACTTTTTATGAATTCTCTGCCACTTTATTTTTTTGACACAATTTTCATGCTAAATTTTATATTATAACCATTATACAAAAAACATGTGGTGATGAAGATTTTATAGAAAGTCTCACTTTAAGAAAGTATTCTTAATAGGGCCATGTAAGAATTAATAATCATCTACATGTATCTCATGCATTTATAATGTTGTTGTGCATTATTAATACTATTGGCGTTGTTGTATAGATATATATATATATATATATATATATATATATATAAATAGAATAAAAAGTCAAGGCGTTTCAAAGCAGTCGGAAATTTTGACTCTGATTCTCTTAAATTTGAATAAAAACTCACAAAAATTTGATTCTTATAAACATAATTCTCCCAGTTATTAACCTCTAACTAATACAAAAAACAATGTAAAAATTAAACTCAAGACAACCAATTTCCAATGTATGAAAACTAGATGTGGGCAAGTCGTTGTAGCCAATATGGAAGATGTTTAATGTTAGAGGATAGAGTCATACATCGAAAACTTCACAAAATAAATTAAAATTCATATTGAATAGTTTCACTTCTAATTGAAACAAATAATTAGTAGTGTGACATTAACACTGAGATGTTAACAGTTAGATGATAATGTTGTTGGTGCATCAACATCATGCAAGTTTTAGGCAGAAATATGTAGCATCCTAGTTTATTAGCAAAGCTGAAAGCACGCATACAAATGAAACGAGACAATTGATAAGCATACAGCGCCTTTGGATTCCCCTCTCCTCGATAGCAGAGAGATTTGGACATGGTGCACTCGGAAAAGGATCCTTGACGGATCTTAGAAATCCTGTGATCTCACGCGTTCATTATATATCGTATGGTTAAAAATTATTTTAAAATTAAAATAAATAGTATTTAACGAAAACTGATTACATGATATACAAAAAACGGATAAAATCACGGGATCCCTAGGATTCCTACGAAAGGAATCCGGCAACATCCTTTTCCGGTGCACACAGCCCTAGAACCTGCCTCACTACACAACACCCAATTTTGCAATATTCTAGTTTTACTTTTTCGACCTTGGACTGATTATATTGACTATAGACTAAAGTTAAGGAAAAAGCCAAAGAGTCAAAAAGAAAAAGATATGTTATACATTTCAACTTGTAGTTTGTTTAGGCAGGTGTAGCTTCGATGTTAGAAGTGATTAAGTACAAGCTTTAAGCCTGAAACAAACTTTATGATGGATGGAAATAATCAGAACATTAATGCATGATCATCTCTCGAGGACAGCTTAAAGCTTTCGGGGTTGTGGTCGTGGCTTGTACAATATTTCTGAGTGGTGATTGTAGCTTATATTTGAGGTGATGATGTATGTGGTTTATGTGCTTGATAAAGGACTATAAAAAGATAACTAAATATTTATTGAACGAGACTGTCAACATGATTTATTTATTAAAAATTGGAAGATCATCAGATGTTGGTGCGGTATTTTTCTCGTGGAGCCTCTATGATAGTTATCGGACTTGCAATGTTTAGTCCTCATGACTAGGTTTAGGGTTAGGATTAAGGATTCTCCATGATTGAAGAATCATATTGTGTTTTTTATGTGTTTGTAATTGTAGGTTTGTGATGTTATTTTGACATATGTAGTCTCTTGAATTCTAAGAGAC